TCTCCATCGGCTGGACTGTTTTGAATTTCATGATTCAAAAACAAAAAGTGGCGAGGAAGTCTCAGGAGATACGCCTGCCGCGCCCTACGGACACCTCAAGAGGTGCGACAAGGGCGAATTAGTTATGAGGAAAACGGGTGGAGGAGGAGAAGGAGGAGGAGGGGGAGGAGGAAGAGGCGGAGGGGGAGGAGGGGGAGGAGGAGGAGGAGGGGGAGGAGGAGGAGGAGGAGGAGGAGGAGGGGGGAGGAAGGGGGTGGGACGGCAAGGAGAGAGGGAAGGAGATAGGGAGGGAGGGAGGGAAGGAATGACGAGGATCAGAACGATGATGATGAGAAGGATCGGAGGAGGAGAAGGAGGAGAAGGAGGAGGAGCAGGATGAGGAGGAGGAGCAGAAGAGGATGAGGAGGAGGAGAAGAAGGAGGAGACGGCGGAGGAGGTTGCTGCAGCTGATGACGCTGCTGCTGCTGCTGTGGATGATGCTGCTGCTGACGATGATGATGACGATGATGAATGCGGCTGATGCTGCTGACGACGACGATGCTGCTGATGGTAATGATGCTTAGTATACGGATGATGCAACTGATGATGACGATGACGATGCGGATGATGGTGCTAATGCCGATTGTGATGATGCTGATGATGATGCTGATGCTGATGCTGATGCTCATGCTGCTGCTGCCGGTGATGATGATGGTGATGCTGCTGATGATGATGCTGATGATGCTACTGCTGCTGATGCTGATGATGATGATGCTGGTGTTGCTGATGATGCTGCTGATGCGGATGCTGATGCTGGTACGGCTGATGATGATCCGTCTGCATGCTTTGCAAGCAGGCCAGCCGTCGGTGCCAGCGGGCCCTGATTACGAGTAAGATGAAAAGGAGGATTGAGGACGGCGATGGCAAAGGGCGAAGGGGAAGAGAGCAGTCGGAGAGGATGGAGGAGGGAAGATATGGAAACTGATGAATGATGCGGATGAGAGGGTTGGGATGATAACGGATGAGAGGAGGAGGAGGAGGAGGAGGAGGAGGAGGAGGAGAAGGAGGAGGAGGAGGAGGAGGAGGAGGAGGAGGAGGAGGAGAACGGGAGGGGAAGAAGTGTGATGGGAAGGGAGAAGCATGGAGGAGGGGGAAGGGACGTAAGGAGAAGCATGGGAAGGAACGTGCGGAAGGGAGAAGCATGGGATCGGGAGAGGAGGAACGTGAAGGGATGCGCATGGAGGAGTGGCTGGTTGGAGGGAGGGAAGGGCTGGATGAGGAGGTGCGTCTATGGGGAATCCCGGGCGCGTGCACTATCTCTCGCGAGGCGGGGCGAGGCGGGCGCCACTAGAGGGGAGGGAGGGGGGGGGAGGAGGAGGACGATGGACGCGTGATCCCAAGTGAGCGCTCCGAGGGGGGCATCCGCGCGGAAACTCCCGCCACGCCGAGCGGCAAGGGCCTCGCACAGCGGGGGGGGAAGCAACGCCGCCCATGCGCCGCCGCAACCACCCGCCTCGCCCCCGGCAGAGGGGGTGGATGGGAACTGGACTGTGGTAAATACCCCAGGGGAGGAAAACGGAAAATGGACGAGAGGGGGGAGGAGGAGGAGGAGGGGGAGGAGGAGGAGGAGGAGGAGGAGGAGGAGGAGGAGGAGGAGGAGGAGGGGGAGGAGGGGGAGGAGGAGAAGGAGGAGGAGGAGGAGGAGGAGGGGGAGGAGGACTGGACGCCCATGAGGGGGAGAGACAGAATAGAGTCCTGGGGGTGCCCCTCGAAGGGGCACGCGTCAACCCCCGCAGTGGGTTCCGACCCCGCCGCAGGGGCGCCGGGCAGGGCCCCCCTGAAACAGCTCCCCGTTGGGGTCGGCCTCCGCGTCGGTCTTGGCAGCTTCGCCGAGGGCTCCAGCGCTCCTGGCTGAGGCCACAGCAGCGGCACGGGCCTTCCAGGCAGCGGCTCGTGCGGTCAGGAAGCGCCGCGGGGGGGGGGGAGCGGCAGAGGGGGGGTCTGGCTCTGGACCTCTACTTAGCACTTAGCGCGACTGCTTGCAGCAGTGCGTCCGAAAGGGGAGGGACTCCACCTGCTCGAAAGATGCGCCCCAAACAGCCAAGATCTACTCCATGTGGGGGGGGGGAGGGGGGTGCGAGGGCCCGCGCCGACCTGCAAAACAATGAATAAGAAAACGATCACATAGCGGCGCGGCCCCAGCTTGAACGCCCTGTTCGGCTGCACACGCTCTCCTTGCGGGCTCCTTGGACCGAGGCCTCCGATCCCTGGCAGCTGCTCCGAAGGCCACGAGCCCTTTGCGGAGCGGTGGCGCACCCACCGCGAACGGTGCACACAATTGAACGAGCCGTCGAGTCCAGCACCGGAAACTCCCAGAGGGTGCGGCCGCCAACATGCAACATGGCACTGTTGGCCAACTCCGCAGCTGGAGGAGGCGCCAGGCTCCGCCTCGGTCGTCTGCGGAGCCTGTCCGTCATGCACCCGGCCGCCCGCGGGGGCGGCCGGCTCGGCCTCGGAGGGGGCCTCCCCCGAGAACTCACGGCAAGCGCCCCGGACCCTGGCTTGTCGTGAACTTCCAAGTCGCCACAGTGCGCCTCCTCAGGGCCAACGAGCTTGAGAGTGGCCCCAGCCGGGGCCCAAGGACCCCTCAGGAGAAGGGCAGCATCAGCCAACACCCGAAGCAAACCATCACACCCTTCTTAGATGGGGCATCCGGCCTGTGGTTGCCGAGCCTTTTTAAGCGTCAGTGAGCTCTCCTTCTCTCAAGTCGCACACAAGGGCGTGCGATGGCACTTTTGCGAAGCCGGCGCCGTCCAAGCCTCAGACCCCAAGCCACTGCTTCCAGACATGGGCCCCGAGGTCGTAGCTTGCGACGGCTCGGCGCTTCTCTGTGCGACGCCCGAGCGTAGCTGCGCAGTCGGACTAGAACGTGAGAGCGCCCACGGGAGACCTTGCCGCCGCGTGCACTGCGACGACTTCGCCGCCCCTCGCGACTTGGGGCGGGGGTGTGTTCGGGAGGGCCCTTCGAGCAGCGACGCGCGACGCGACCTCCCACCTCAGCCGAGCGCTGGGCCCAGGGCCCGGCTCCTCGCGGGGCTCCACGGTCTCGGCCGCGATGCTGCCGCCCACCTCTGCCCGGGCAAGAAGGGCAGCGTCTGTCCCGGACTCGGGCTCGCCCAGCCGGTCAGAAAGAGCGCCCGCGCGCCACTCTCGCGGTGGCCCCCGCGAAGCGTCGGGGAACACCTGGTCCCAGCGGCTGGCCGCCCCACTGATGTGACCCCGTGGGCCGTTCCATCACGTAGAGCATCGCCGGGCGCCAGAGAGCCAACCCTGCGCGGGCGCAGTCACGCTTGTGGTAAGTCGGGCCTGTCCCCCTGCAGGGGCGGATTTTGGACGACAAGTAAAAAATGGTCAACGCATACACCACAAGTATTCAACAATGGTCAAACAAATCGTTTGTGGACGAGTCCCGACTTAACGCTTGTGCAGGTCCTGGCCGCGGGCGGCTTCCAGGGTGGCCAGGCGGGGCCGACGACCTCCCGCACGCCCGCACAATGTGCTGTCGCCGCTGCGTTGGCGTTCGCCCCCGAAACCAATGAGCACCTCCTCGGCAGCCGCAGAAGCAGGCCGCGGCAGCTTCTTCGGGCGACGCTTCGAACGCACAGATGGGCAGCTGCACTCCCCCCCTGGCACGGGGGGATGTCCTCGTCCAGGCCTCTCGGGGGGAACTCGGATGGGAAGATATAGCGTTTTCCAAAATGAGCTGCGTGTGTTGGAAGCAGTTTTTCTGTTGGAAACAGGTTCGACTTCCCAATGCACGCAGTTCGCCATTTTTTGTGGAAGCAGGCTCGACTTCCCACTCAGAAGAAGACCAAGCCACATAAACACAAACTCGTGGCGCTCCGCGCGGAATTTTCTTGGCTTCGCGCTGGACCCCCGGAGCGCGCCGGGGGCGGCGCCGGACTTCGAGAGGAGGCAGGTGCGACCTCCCGGGGCGCGCAGTTCGTTGTCCTGGCCTGCCGGGCCTTCCACGGCCAGCGGCAGCGGCGGCGCGTCGAGGGCCGACTGGCGCGTCGAGGGCCGTGCCGTCGCGCGGCCCCCGCGACCGCGCGCGCGTCGGGGCGCGGCGCACCTGCGGCGACAGAAAGAGCAGAGAGGCGGCCGCTGCACGCGGCATGCTCGGCCTCCTCGGGCCCTCCTCCCCAGCTGGGGGAGAACTCCCAGGGGGGGAGGGGAGTCAGATACGCATCCGTCCCTGGGGGTCCTCCTCCCCCTTCCCTCCCCTCTCCCACGCCGGTCCTCCTCTGGTCCTCCTCCCCAGGGGGGGTCCCAGGGGGGAGTCATTTTCCTCCTTCTCCTCCTCCTCGTCCTCCTCCTCCTTGTCTCCGCCTCCTCCTCCTCCTCCTCCTCCACCTCCACCTCCTCCTCCCCCTCCTGGTCGTCGTCGATGTCTTTCAGGGTCGGCGGCACCGGCCGTCAGGCCTTCACAATCGGAGCGGTGGCCGTTGCACGTGGCATGTTCGGGCCCCGGGATCGACTCGCCCAGGCTAGGATAAGCAACAAAGACGCTATAAACATAAACTTTTGGCGCTCCGCGCGGATTTCTTGGATCCGCGCTGAACCCCCCTCCCTGGCGCGCGGACCGCGCCAGGGGCGGCGCTGGAGCGCCACCGGGAGGGCTCAGCGCGGATCCAAGAAATCCGCGCGGAGCGCCAAAAGTTTACGTTGATGGCGCTTTTTCTTCTTCGACAGGCGGTCGACCCACCCTGAGTCCCTGAGCTCCGACGCCTGAGTGTTCCAGTCGCCGCCGGTCAAGACTGGGGCCGGTTGCGAGCTCGCTGACCCCGCGCGGAAAACGGGACGCCGTTGCCCGTGAGGCCTACCTTGGAGTGGCCGTGGACCGAGAGTTCCAGGACTTGCATGGCGTCATCGCAGCCACCCCTCCTAAGGTCGCCATGCCACCGTCGTCCGTCTTCGCCGCAGCGCTGATGGATGTAAGATAGCCTGCCCAGTGCGTGAACAACTTGGGCCCACTCAGGCACGCAACGCCGTGCCTCTGCTCTTGAACGACGGCCCTCTAAAACTCCTTACGGTGGTGATCGTAGGCCCAACTCAGAAACCTGACTGCGGTGAACCAATGGTTGGCGTCGTGCGCCACGAGCGGCAATAGCTCAGAGCGGCGTCTCGGAAAAACATGGCGACGTCGACCCCCAGGGCGCTGGGCCGAATCAGCCGCCCGTGGGTCTTGCACTGTAAAGCCTAGCAAAGCATGGGCAGACGCTGAGCCCGGGTGGCTGCTCAGAAGCGATCACACCTGGTACTTGCGCTCTTACGCCTGGCCTGCACGAAGTCGGCGCCACTGAAGCACTGGTGGTCACCGAAGTCGTCGTTACTCCCCGCGGGCGCCGACCCCCCTTCCAAGGGCATTCGTCGCTGACCCACTCCCGAGATCCGTAGAGCAGGCCTCGGACACGCGTCTCCTTCCACGGGAGCAGGTTGAGATCCTGAGGGCAGGCGCTAGCTGGGGGGGGGCCATCGCGGCCACATCAGGCGAGACAGACTGTGGAAAAACAGACTCGATGTGGGCACCGAGCGGGCATGTCTGGTCGTACAAATCGACATCGACGGCCGCCCTTCTCTGGCGGCTAAGGACCCTCTTGCTTCGAGGCGGCTGCTGCTCTGGCTGCTGCCAGGACGGCGCCCGTTCCCTTCTGATCACGGGCCTGGCCTACTGGCGTGTGAACGCTAAGAAAGGACAGGAGCCGAGCCAGTCGTCGCGGAAGAGCCTGGCTGTGAGGCCTGCCGCCGCCGCTGAGGCCGGGGTGGCCGGGGCCAGCGGCGGCCCTGATGCTGCCGCCGATGAGCCTTCCGCGGCCTCGCCTTCGTCGCGCCTGCGACGTTTGGCTGCCATGCGCTGCCACAGCTCTGCTGCCTCCAAACGTAGCTTCTGGGTGTTCTCGGCGCTCGGCCCGATCGCCGCGACCACCGCTGCCTTGATCTCCTCGGCCAGGTTCGCCCTGAGGGCGAGCCAATTCCTCTCCTCCGCCTCGCCAACTTGTCGCCAACGTCCAGCGAGCCCACGTCCAACACCTCGCTGTCGATGATCTCGATCACGTCGGCGCCCTCGCGGTCCAGCAACTCGGACGACGTGATCTGGTTGCCCGCCGCCTCGTCTGGTCGCGAGCCGACCGCCGACGTGGAGTCGCCGCTGCTGCCGTCCTGACCCAATGCTGACCCTCGGGCGAGCTCCTGCCGCCACGCCACCTTCGCGTCGCAGGCCTGGCCGAGGGCAGTGGCCGTGGCTTCCTTGCACTCGTTGTGCCATGCTTCCGCCTCCCTTTCGCGAGCGACCGTCGCCCCAAGGTGGGCTTCTGCACGGCTGGCCGAGATGGCAACCTCGAGCCACTGCTCCTTGGGTGGGGCTGGCGCCGTCGAAGTCCTGGGCCCCAGCATGCCCTCGAGCGCCTTGAACTCGCTCGAGCCTGCACCTTCAGGGCCGTGACGCTCGTGGGGCTGCCTGGACAAGAGCTGGGTCGAGAGCCCCTCCGCTATGGCCCGCCTCCGCGCGCTGGGGTGGCGAAGACTTGCCAAGGCGGTGCCACCGCTGGCGGCGGCCTCCCCCAGCTCCACTTGCCAGGCGGTGTTGCTGGCTGCTGCTGTGCACCACCTCCGCTCTGATGGTGAGGCTGGTCCTGGCGGGCCCAGGCTCCATGCGCGTCGCGCCACGGCATCTCCATCAGCACGAGGGTGGTCCTGCACTGAAAGCAGAAAGCCCTGCTGACGAAGTTTCATCTGCACCTGCGCATGCTGCAAGAGACATATCATGCCGCATCATTGCCCATCCGTCGGGGATGTGCAGTGCCGAACAGTTGGGCTCTGCCCCAAAACTGTACGCTGACTGCGGATGTTGCCAGGTGAACCCTGGCGAAAGTGGTGGGGCCGTCGACTCCCATTGCCAAATGCTCGCGTCGTGGGCCTCCCGCTGCGGGATTGAACCAAGGTGGCCACGGAGAGGAGGGAGAGGAGTAGGAGGAGGAGGAGGAGGAGGAGGAGGAGGAGGAGGAGGAGGAGGGACAGGGGGAGCCAATGTGTCGAGGAGGAGGAGGATGCAGAGTAGGATTGCCACGGCTGTATCATTAGGTCGTGGGTGGGCCACTTCACCAGCCCATCTGTGCTGCTCGTTGACTGGGTGGACCGACCTCGTGACCCCGAGCACGGGGTGATGGACAGCACCCGCGTCGTGATGCGTAGTGTGCAGGGCCAGGCGGCCCTCCTCCACCGAAGGATCGCGCCGCTGGCTACCACCCTCTCCTCACCCCCGATGCCCGCTGCGGATCCGACGGAATGCAGGCGGGGGGGGGTGGCAGACGGGGGGAGGAGGGAGGGATGTGGGGCCTCTCGGCCCTTCGGCCTGCCGGGCCCCTGGACCCCCTCGAGGCCCCTCCGCGGGCTTGGAGAAGAGAGGACTCCCTCCTCCCCTGTGTTTTTCTCCATGCCTTCAGGGGCCCCAGCTTCTCCTCCTCCTCCTCCTCCTCCTCCTCCTCCTCCTCCTCCTCCTCCTCCTCTTTCTCCTCCTCCTCAGCTTCCGCTTCCGCAAGCAGCAACAACGGCGCGGGCCTCGTGAGGATCTCCTCGGCCCCCGCCACGTCGCCGGACTGGGCGCAGGCGGAGAGCGACCGCGTCATGGCCCTCGGCTTCTCCAGTCGGGGGCCTCGCCTCGCTCCTCCTCCTCCACCCCTCCTTCCCTCCGCCTCCTCCTTCCCCCTCCTTCCCCTCCGCCTCCTCCTTCTCCTCCTCCTCCTCCTCCTCCTCCTCCTCCTTCCCCTCCGCCTCCTCCTCCTCCTCTTCCTCCTCCTCGTTTGTCACTCTTGTGAAGGCAGTGATCCTGACAATTTCTTCCTCCTCCTCCTCCGCCTCCTCCTCCTCCTGTGGTGCTTCTCCTGCTGCTGCTGCTGCTGCTGCTGCTGCTGCTCCTGCTCCTCCTCCTCCTCTGGCACGCCCCCCCCCCGGAGAGCTCACTCGACGTCGCCCTCGGCGCGCCTGCGGGCCAGCGGCCCTGGCCCTCTCACAGCCGTCTCGTCCCATCGGGACCCCGACACTCGAAGGCCGTGGCCAAGAGAAGCACGGCGTCGAAACAAACGTCACTGCCTTAGACTCTGGACCCCATCTTTCGGAATCGCTTCTCGGGCCCGATCCATCCGCCATGGTCCGTCTGGAACGGGGCGGAGACGCCCGCCGCGTGTTTGTTCACAACTGGATGCCAGGATGGAGAGAGAGAGAGAGAGAGAGAGACAAACAACACATATATCTAGATCACCATTCGGTCAAAAATGTCGGGCAAATAGTTGTCACCCTGCCCACAAAAGCTGGCGGGGAAACGGGCGAAGCGACACATGTCGTGAAAGAAAGCGGACAACCAGGGCGAACAGAGAGATCTCTGGGAGATCGGGGGTGGCCTTGGAGGGCCTCTTCGGGCCACCCCTGAGGCCCGCATCGGACCGTGGGAAGGAGGATGGGATGAGGATGACGATGAGGAGAAAGAGGAGGAGGAGGAGGAGGAGGAGGAGGAGGAGGAGGAGGAGGAGGAGGAGGAGGAGGAGGAGGAGAAATACGACGATGACGACGACGACGACGGCCACGACGACAAGGAATTGGAGGATCAGAAAAAGGAACCCGATGAGGGCAAGGACGAGGACGAGGAGGACAACGAGGACGAGGACAGAGCCCTCAAACTCGCCTCTTGGAGGCCTCTTGGGTTTCTTTTGGGGGATCTTGGGGTTCTCTTCGGGCTCTGGGGGATCTTGGGGCCCCTCAGGAGCCCTCTGGGGGGTCCCTTGGGGGCCCTGCAGGGCCTCTTGGGGCCATCTCGGAGGACATCGATCCAAAGGGGAGGTCCCCGATGTGCGCCCCCCTGGGGCCATCAAATCGCCTCTTTGGGACCCTCTTGAGACGCTCTTGGGCCGAGGGCGCTCTTGGGGCAATTGAGGGGCCTCTTGGGTCCCTCTTGGGGCTCTCGTGGGCCATCTTAGGGCAATCTTGAGGCCTCAAGAGCGCATCGGAAGCGAAACGGCGAGAAGGCAACAATAATTACTTTCCTTAAGTGTGTTGACGGATTTTGGCCTCTCAGGGGGGTCCTGAAGGTGGGCTCCGCGAGCACTTGAAACCGACTTATGGCCCTCGTCGGGCCTCAGGGAGCTTCTTGAACCATCTTCGGTTACCTTGAGCCGCCTTGAAGGCCGTCTTGGAGCATCGGAGGCCCTCTTGGAGCCATCTTGGACGCTCTGGCTGATCGTGGCCCGCTTCAAAGAAGCTCAGGGGAGGGGAGGGGAGGGAGAGGGCATCCCTCCCCAAGGGAAGATAGGGTTTGGGAAAAGTAAAGAAAAACTCCACAGACCACCTTAGCCCGAAGGGCTGGCGGGGTTCCCATTGCCAGCAGCAGGGTCAGCGATGGAAGACCTCGTGCGCCAAATTAAAGGCAACATCGCGAGCGGAGACCCAGTCGGGTTTTCGTCCACTCCTCCTCGCCCTCCTAGAGACACGTTGAACACGCAACCTGCCTGTCGCGTGTATTCATGCCAAGGAGACTTCAAAACCGCCTCCGTCTGTAGCCTCACGGAGGCTCTCGGAGGAGGCCCCAGGAGCCTGCCATGATTGTACAGGAAGGCCCAAATAGGCTCGATTGAGACAGCCCTCGACAGCCGAATAGTGCCCCGCATGATCCAAACTTGGCCCCCAGAGACACCGATATGCTGCCAACAGGCGCCGATATAGCCCACCAGTGCCCCAAGAGAGCCCAGAGACAGGCACAAGCCCGCTTCGCCCTGGTGGCTGGCCAAGCCCGCAGCCCTTCAAGTAGTTGAGCACGCGCGTAGAAATGCGAACGTGTAGGTATAGCCATACTGATTCAACCAGTCACGACCTCTAATGCAGAGCCACGTGCTCCGCCACAGCTTGGTTCTCTACCACGCTGGCCAATCTGCGGGCACCCTGCGGCCCAATACGGCCCAATACGGCCCCAGAGGGGCCCAAGAGCGCCCCGAAACGGCCCAAGAATGATCCAGACCGCCCCCAAGAAGATCCCAGGGAGCGCCAAGGCGGCCCAAGAGGTGGCAAGTGAAACCCCAAAGGCAACACAACACGAAAGGCCGGAGGCTTTGGACATCTTCTGGTCCAGCCTTATGTCGGGCGTGTCCCCCATACAAGGAGATTTTCGAAGAAAAGCAAGACATGCCCCAAAAATGCCACCAAAAGGTCAAAAAATACTCAACAAATAGTCCCCAGACTATTTTTGGATGATTTTGGGACTATTTTGTGGGTAATTTGTGTTGTTCGTCGAAAACCCCCCTGTAGGGGCACAGGCCCGACTTGAGTCCAGCCGCCCTTTCGCCCTCGGGCGCCTCCGAGAGGTGCGCCGGCCCAGCGAAGGGGGCCCCCAGGTGGCCCCCAGTCGGCCCCGGGCATCGGGCACGCGCGGACGTCGGACCACGGACCCGTGGACGGGGCGTGAGGGCGCTGGATCCGCGGATCGGGGAGACGTGCTCCGAAGTCGGGCCTGTCCCTCTACAGGAGGGGCACTCAACAAGAGCCAACAAAAACGTCCGCCTGATCCGGCGTGTGAGTTTCAGGAGTCTGAGCTGGAGCTCTTCTTCAGCATGAGCTTCAGCTCTGCTTGGGAGGGAGGGAGGGGGGGGGATGTAATCTGACGAAATAAGTGCTCGGCACCTCCCCCCCCTGCCAGCCCCCAGGAGAGAGAGGGGGGGGGGGACAGGAGAGGGGGGGGGGACAGGAGAGGGGGGGGGGGGAAAGAGAGAGAGGGGGAACAGGAAAGAAGGGGGGGGTGAGACAGGAGAGAGGGGGGGGGGGGGAGTGGGGGGGGGGACAGGAGAGAGGGGGGGGGGACAGGAGAGGGGGGGGGGGGAGGAGGAAAGGAGAGAGGAGGGGGGGACAAGAGAGAGGGGGGGACCGGAGAGAAGAGGGGGTGTGTGGGGGGGGCCCGGGATCATCACCATCTCCATCTCCATCACCATCGCCATCGTCACATCACCATCAGCATCATCATCATCATCATCATCATCATCACCATCATCACCATCATCACCATCATCACCATCATCAACATCATCACCATCATCACCATCACCATCACCATCACCATCACCATCACCATCACCATCATCATCATCATCATCATCACCATCATCATCCGGAGCGCCGCGGATCGGCGGCACTGGCCGGAGGCCACTGCAATACTCTGGGGACGATGTTTGGACTATTTTCGAGCATCTTGGGAGTAATGTGTTGAATATGTTTTTTATGTTTCCGCCCAGAATCCCCCTTGTATGGGGGACAGGCCCGACCGAAGAGTGCCCCCCGAGACAGGAAGCCAACGCTGCCCGATTTGGGAAGCGGAGCGGGCCGAGGCTATGCCAGGAGCGGGCCGACGCCAGGCGCCCCAGCACGCGAATGCGCTGGGCGCTGCCTCGACGGAGGGCCTCTCGCGCCCGAGGGGCCGCAGCGGCCTCCCTCTGGCGGGCTCGGGACGGCCCACAGAGAGGGCCCCTGGACGGCCAGGGAGGGCCTCGGGTACCGTACCCTTCCGCGACAGGGGGCATGTCGACCCCGATGGCTCGCAGGCTCCGTGGTGTTTTCGAACGGGCCAACCGTTGTGGGCCCGACCCCGGGATCTACGATGGGGCGGCGTCCATCCTCGACAGGGGGTTGCGTCCGAATAGCCCCCTTGGGGTGTGTCCCAAGGTTTTCCTCCTGGTCTGAGCGGACTCACTTTTCATCGAAAAGTCGGGGGCAGGGGGGAGAACCATCGCCTGCGACTCCAGGCGCCCCAAAGAGCCCAAGTGGAACGCGACGTGTGCGCGCGACGGCCGGCAGAGGGCTTCAGACATCGCACCACAGGGCCCCAAGACTCCGCAAAACGGCTGGACGAATCCGGCGGCGATCAGATACTCTGCTTCGCCCATGTGCATGCGGAGCCCGCTCGTGGAGAACGTATGGCGAACCAGTAGGGTCTTCAAAATTTTAAATCGAGCAAGCTGCTTCCACTGTTTCCCGAAGACGCTGCCGAACAGACCAGCAGCATTCGCTCTACTGACTTTCTCTTGCGGGGAAAAACGGGCACGGGGGAGGGGCGCGATGTTCCTGGAGTCCTCAGGAGGCCAAACCGTTTCACCGTAGCGCGGGCCAACGTGCCCTGGCCAAACCGAGGTGGCCAACGGTCAACCCCAAGGGCTAACGCGCGAAGAAAAAGGGCAAACACGGACACAAGCTGGGACATGACCTCCGGCGTCCTTTCCTTGGCTAACTCCCAATAGCGCCAGAAACGCTGTGCCGTAGGGAGGAAATCAAAAAAAGAAAGCAAACCAAGGACCGCCCTACACCCCGCGCCAAAGTGGCGCATGGGGGTTCGGGATCGGCGCCCAAGGGACAATACGCGGAGCGTTGCCCAGCGCCCGCACCCCCACAAGCACGGTAAGAGTATGCCCGCAGCAAAGAGCACTGCAACCACGAGGTTGCAGGCGGGAAGCCGCGGGCCCCGCCTCCGTGATCGTCGACGGCGGTTCACCTCAGACCAGGAGGTGCCACTGGGATCCCCCCGCGCCAGGCCGCACTTCTTGGCCGAGAAGGCAGGGCACTAAAAGCCCTGGCCTGACAGCTTCAACGGCGACAGCGG